TGTTTATCGGTGTTGTGGGATTTTTTTCTTTAAAAGTTATTGTTACTGTATATTCCAGAATGTGCAGCAGATATTGTGTTCGTGGTGGATTCGTCTACAATCAGTTCGTTTGAAGACAATTACAACGACACCTTGGCAGCCATTTATTCCTTCCTTGATACTCAGACATTGTCAAATACCCATTTACGGGTCGGTACCGTCTTCACTAGTGGTGGCATTACGGTTCCAATATCTCTGACCACTGATAAAATGTTGCTTAAGAGCCAATTGGCTGGTTTTTCTACTCCGTTTGGTGGCCCGACGACATTAAATGACGGTTTGAACGCTGCAGCAGGCATCTTCTCATCCGATACTTCTAATAGAAATGCACCCAGAGTAACCATTGTTGTTACTAGTGGGCAAACGAACGCTGGAATACCGGTTACGGCAGCAGCGAACCTACAAAATCTACCAGGCTATCCGATGGAAGTGTATGCTATTGGTACTGGTCTATCGTTTGGTAATCTGTATAATACAGTGGAACTAAATACTATAGCAACTGGTAGTAATACTATAGAAATATCAGACACCAAAACACTGGCTCAGAGGTTTAATGGTATAGCTGCCGAGGAGTGTAAACCTTTACGTAAGTAACATAATTATACCTCTGTAAGCCGACAGGCTATAACCAGACAGAAATGACGGTTTAGAGGTGTATCAGATGCTGGTGATATTATTTTCTATATAATTCTGTCGTGTTTAGATAAAACCTCTGTGTTGTCGAACTGAAAACTGGTACGATAGTAGAAGTGTATAGCGTGTATAAACTATAATATACCATTTATATGAAATTTTGGCGAACTTCTTTTCTATATTTTTCTGCTCAGCGCAGTTTATTTGTGGTCTATTGTATAACCAGAAGGCTATATGACAAATGTAAATTTAGGTAAAAGCAAATTATTCTACAGGAAAATACATTGTCCTGACCTCGGTTGTACGAGAATATCACATTTTCACGTATTTATTATTTTCTTTTACAGTAACTATCACTACTACAGAGAGTCCACCATCACCACCGGAAACTGGTAAGTTACTTGGTTCTTTGATATTACACACATAATAATATATTACACTGTTAAAAAGAGCTAAATACAATTGGTAAAAATAATGGCTCATTTGTCTGAAACTCAGAGTGACAACATGTCCTGTTTTCTATGACTATATGTAGTATTAAAAAGGCCCCATAGACAAAGCTATATTAAAATATTACTAAAGTAACTCAACATGGTACAATGCCATTTCGATTAAATTTTTTTCTACAAGATTCTAATATTTCTGACTTCAGATTGTGCTGTTGATATTGTGTTTGTGGTTGACGCCTCAGATATCACCAACTCTGACAACCTCTGGAACGACCTGAAGAATACCATACAGACGTTCGTTAACCAACCTATCATTTCTGATTCTGGTACTCGAGTTGGTGTCGTGTTCACCAATGCTTCATCAACCAATAATATCGCTATCTCGGGCGATAAAACCAGTATAGCTAATCAAATGAACATGTATCCTACCCCACTTGGAGGGGGTCAGCGATTGGGAACTGGTCTAAATGCAGCTACTAATTTGTTTAACAGCGACCAATACAATCGTAATGCTCCAAAGGTCTGTACCTTAACTTATATGTCTTTGGTGCAACCAATCAGCACTTATTTTGCTCTCTACTTGATCATTCGTGTATTTTCAGATTTAGAATTCATAATATTGTATAGTTTACAGGTTGCTGTCATTGTTGCTGCAGGGAAGCATCTTTTAGCTTACCACGGCCAGTATACAAGCCATAGAACTTGCAGTACCCATATTGCTCTCAACGCAACGCAGTGTAGTCTGGCTGTTGTTAGTCGTGGTAGTAGGATGGTTAGGGACTGTTGGTTTGGTAGTTAAAAACACCATTTACTGATATAGATCTACTTTTTTTATTTTCTTCCCATAACCTTAAGACTACTTTTCTATTTCCACTATCGTGTTAACTGCTGTAAGCAGACTAGGTAGTTTCTGTTAGTAGTAGTAGGATGGTTCGGGACTGTTGTTGGTAGTTAAAAACATCATTTAAAAACATAGACCTACTTTTCTATTTCTATTAGGTGGCTATTGTGTTAACTGCTGCAAGATCTCAAGGTGGTACCATTCCAATCAATGAAGCCAATGCTCTGAAGGCTTTCAACGGTGGTGTATCTACATACGCTATTGGTATCGACAACTTGAATGGTCAATTCTACAATCCTAGTGAACTGGATGCGATTGCTTCATCTCCTGGTCAATCTTTGAGAGTCTCTGATAGAAACACATTGCTGTCAACCTTAAATTCTATCAACTCTGAAGAATGCAAAATCCGAGAGATCCCAGCTAGTATGTTTTTTTTTATAAAAATCTGGCAGCTCATTTCGAAAGTATCAAAAGCTTGTATTCAATGGCGTTTCTACAAGGGGTCATGCCCTTCCCCCCAGAAAAGGGGCTGGCCCGGGTTTGGTCCCCCAACTTTCAATTTTTTTATCAGTTTACATAGTGAAAGAATGACCTGTGGCCTCCCTGGAAAATTTTGTGGTCCCTGCTCTGCCCCCTCGTCCGACATTTCCTAGAAACGCCACTGCTATTGTATAACAATGTAAAATGTATACTGTGTGTATTAAGTGTCAGGGGGTTGAAAGCCGACACCGGGCCTACTCTTGGAGACCATCGTCGTGCCATCTGAACTTTTCTTACCTTGAGAAGGATTCGAAAACACGCCACCCAATAGCCTAGCACACAAATATCCAACTCTCTATTGACTTCCAATGTGTATTTCCGTATAATATTTTGTTTTGAAGGGCAAAATTTTCCAAAATCTTAAAAATGACATGTTAGTCCCGGTATTCAATAATTTATATTATAGAGTAGAATTTAGTTCATTTTTGCTCTATGATTCTGCCATCTGCTAGACCAAGAAGGTGCACAATTACGACGTAGAACTACTCTATTTCATTCTGTTGTATTTCAGATTGCAATCCTACAGATATTGTCCTGGTAGTTGATGGTTCTTCCTCAATTGGTCCATTCGCCTTCAATGATCTGAAAGCTACGCTAGTGCAGTTTACTCGAGATATCCCCGCTAGTCCTAATGGTGTCAACATCGGTGTGGTCACCTACAGTTCATCAGTGAACCCCTTCGATAACATCCGACTGACTGGTGATTTAAACACTCTACAAACTGATATACTGAATCTACCGTATCCAGAACAAGGTACCCGAACCGATCTCGGCATCGAAGAAGGAAGAAGGATGCTCACAAACGGACGACCCGGTGTCAAGAAAGTCATGGTAGTGATCACTGACGGTTTCTCCGATATACCATCCCTCACTTCATCACAAGCTCAATTCGCTCGAGATGTAGACAATGTTGATATGTATGCTCTAGGTGTAGGAAATGGCGTAGATGATGCCGAGTTATTAAGTATTGCTGGTTATATTGGAAATGTTGAGAAGGTCGACAACTTCCAATCTATCATTCCATCTTTCTTACAACTGTCGAGAGCTATCTGCAGTAAGTTCATTTTTAATTTTGTGAACAGGCAAAGGGCGAGAAATAAGAACGATGCTAACAAATTATAGCTCTATTTCATAATACATACATACGAAGATTTAGAAAAGCCTTTTGAAACCATTTTAATATTGAATTCTGCGAACGTGCTTTTGACCGGAAATAAGAATGGCGCAAATAATTTAGTAGCTGCAATTACACATGACAAAGGTCTTTTGATTTTTTTTTTGGTTGAATCATACGAACATAAGTATATACAGAAATATTTCAGAATGGCGAAATAAATTACAGTTGTAGTTTCCCAATTCCAATAACGATATGCACACGCTACGAAAACATCTATAAATCCATATTTTCTTGTTCTTGATGTTTTTGTTTGTTTCAGTTGTACCAACCACTCCGCCTCCTCCGACAACCCCCACACCTCCACCACCAGGTTTGTACCTCTATAGATTTGCCTTTTTTTCTTATTGACAGTCTCATATTTAAGAACTTCCAGTAGCTCAACTACCACTGGTTGAACCAAGTACATGGGCCCCCACTCATCTAGTTGAACCACTGAGAACTTTCCATGAGATACAACAGATAAACAATTTTACGTGGTTTTCATGCTGTCATTTTTTTTTCCATTTTCACAGCTTGTGCTGCTGATATGGTGATAGTGGTCGATTCATCAGACATCACTAAGAGCGGTAACATCTATAATGAAACATTAGTCGCTTTAAGAGATTTTGTGAACCAGCAAGCTATCTCTAACAATGGGAACCGAATAGGGATTGTCTTCACTAACGATGGAGTCCCAACCAAGATCCCTATCTCGGGTGACAAAAACTATCTATTGAACGCCATCAACAGTAATCCAGCTCCACTTGGCGGTGGATTGATATTGGGTAATGGTCTTAATGGTGCGGCTGATCTATTTAACAATGACGCACAAAGCCGCAACGTACCCAGAGTAACTGCAGTAATAACCGTTGGAGCCACACGAGGGGGCATGCTACCATTGTTCGAAGCTAATACATTGAAAGGTCTTCAAGGCGGAGATCCAATGGCAGTATACGCAGCTGGTATCCAATCACCTAATGGTAATCTGTACAACCCCAATGAATTGAGTCTCGTGGCAACTTCTAACAACAATGTTCAGCAACTCTCTTCAGCTAGAAATATCTTACCGTTTTTAAATAATGTTCAATCTGCCGAATGCGAGTTGGTACCCGATTTAAAATGTAAGTAAAATTTCTGTATAACCTCCAGTTCAAATCACAAAATTATTCTTTGCCAGCAATCGATTTTTAATATTTAAAGTTCAGAAGTTAATTAAGATTTGAATCAAGCGATTTTTTTTATTGTGTATTGTTTTTTTGTCTGCTTTTTTATCTTGATTTTAGTTAGGTAATTTTGTATCTGAGGTATTCTTAACAACATTGTGTCTTTTTCAGCTTGTAATCCACGAGATATTGTACTAGTAGTTGATGGATCCCAATCTATCGGTACAGCATCCTTCGATCTCCTTAAAACCAAACTGATCGATTTCACTAAACAAGTGCCCATGGGTCCTTTAGAAACAAATGTTGGAGTGGTGGTATACAGTTCCAGTGTACAGCCATCTGGTATTATACCTCTTACCAGTGATCAAGCTGCAATAGAAGCAGCTATCAATGCTCTACCCTACCCTGAAGCCGGAACTAATACACATCTCGGAATGATCGAAGGAAACAACCTGCTATCCGCGTCTACCAGATCCGGTGTAGACAAGGTCATGGTGGTCATAACTGACGGCTATTCCGACGATCCTGTGGCTACCTACAATGTTGCTAATAATGTCAAAACAGCCAACGGTGTGACTGTTTACTCCATTGGAGTGGGCAATGGTGTAAATGATGCTGAGCTGTACGATATCGCATCTAATGCTGGAAATGTGCAGAAGGTTACTGGGTTTGATGCCATTACTGTTCCTTTTGCAAGAGTCGCCAGAGCGATATGCCGTAAGTTTATAGGTTTCTGTTTTAAATGTCCCTGAATGAATACTACTTTTTATAATTAACATAAAATTTAAATTCTCACGCTTATATACATATATTCATCAGTGGTTTCACCTTGTGCCATAATGATACAAAACAGTAGGGAAAGCTTTTGTCATAAGTTCAAAATTTCAGAAATTGCTTTCTCTACGCTTCCTTCATCCTTTTTCGGTTGAAAAACTGCTTCTTCATCTTGTAACATGATTCGTATTTTGCAATATCGTACCCTTTGGGAGACCAAAGGGGATGGGGCAGAGGGAGCAGCCGCTTTCCCCCGCAGCCCTGAAAGCAGGTTTTTCGGGCAAAAATCTAACTAGATTAGAAATTTCTCTTTTCAGCAACACCATGCCCAGTAGATGTTGTATTCGTGGTCGACTCCTCAGATTTTACAAACAGTGGACAAGTTTACGAAGGTTTCGTAGACTCAATCAAAGCGTTTGTTCGCCAGCAAAGTATTTCAAACATTGGTACCAGAGTTGGTATAGTGTTTACCAATGATAACGCCGCAGATACCGTCCAAATACCGCTATCTGGTGATTCCAACTATATCATGAATGCTTTAGACGGTAACCCGAATCCATTGGGTGATGGACTCTTCCTGGGTAATGGTCTGAACGGTGCAGCCAGTTTATTTATCACAGACTCACTCAATAGAAATGCCCATAGACTAGCCTTCGTATTAACAGCTGGTCGATCCAAAGGAGGCGTAATACCAACAGCTCAAGCACAAAATTTGAAGAACCTGCCCGTGACTGTAACATCCTTTGGTGTACCCACGACTGCGGGTGTTCTGTACAGCATTAATGAATTGAGAAACATAGCTTCCAGTCCATTTGCTAACGTGTTCCCACAAAACGATCTCTCCAGTTTGCCGATTATATTTGATTCTCTGGTTGAGGATACCTGTGCTGGCGGACCTCCTCCTCCAAGTAAGTACTTTCATAAAACGAACTCACCCACAATCAAACCTTGATCTTTTCAAGCAATTTTTGCAATTTGTGCAATATTAAACAGAAGTCAAAGAGCTTAAGCTTTTATTCAAGGTCACAAAAATGACACGCTTTGATTGGTTAAATACTACCACTGGGACAGACTTGGGTAGAAAACTTGTTAGATTACAATGTAGACTAAAATATCATCAGAAAAAAAATCCGCATAATTATTTTGAAACAGACGTCATGAGCTTTTCAAATTGTATTTCACCGCCATGGTTCTGCACAGTCTTCAAACCCTTTTAGACATTTAGTTGTTTATCTATGATTTATGTGTATTTTCCTCTTACAGTTGTTACACCAGTTCCTACAACGCCAATTCCAGGTAACTCTTCTTGTTCGTTTACTTGACTTGTTCTGTTTTAAGTCTTTCGAATTGATGACTGAGTCTCGTATATCAAATTTAAAAAGAAATACGATGTAATTTGCAGCTGAAAGCAGGTTGGGGGTGGGGTCAGCAGAGATCAGAGACAATTATTTCCCTATATATAATGCCACAACATTCGAGAGGTGAAGCTGGCTAGCGTAATTTCTGGAAGGAAGAGGGTGGGGGTAGAAACTTCCCTGTCGGTCAGAAGATTAGGATTCGTCAATACCACAAATTGACTCAAAGAATCGTTCCATCTCCCCAATTTATTATTCAAATCTAGCTTCCTACAAAATTGGTACAACACTAGCACACCATTCTCTGGCCAAGCAGACCATGTTTACTCTTTGGGAAACACATTATGGTACTTCTCTTTGAAGGAGTCCACTACTCTCGCCATTCTTTGGACGAGATGTTTGATTGACGGAATTGTCTTGCTTGCACAGATTTTTTATTTTTGCTCTGACCATTGTATCATTTCGTTCTAGCTTGCAACCCAAGAGATATCGTCCTGGTAGTAGATGGCTCAGCTTCAATTGGACCAGCCAATTTTGATATCTTGAAGAACAACTTAGTAAATTTCGTCCAACAATTACCAATTACACCTAACGATGCTAATGTGGGTGTCGTCTTGTATAGCTCTGGTGTGAATGCTGGAAATACTATAGCTCTGACAGGAGACTCACCATCCTTACAGAACGCCATTCTCAATCTACCTTATCCTGAAGCTGGTACCAGGACAGATCTAGGTAAACTATAAAGTTCACTTACAGAATTGAAATAACTTTTAAGATATTATGTATATCATATTACTTGTCGGGAATTGAGACTAGACTTACTATGTTAGAAAAGTACTTGCATGAGCTAAACACAGTAATAATAGGCCTACCTCTGGATTTTGCAATCCGGTTCCCCTGTCAGTGATGTAGGTCGGAGGGGACGACATGGAAAAAGCGTCTAGTCCTTCGGATGGGACAATAAACCGAGACTCTGTGCGATACAGGCTAAGCACGATAAGGATCCCTCGACAGTTGGAAATCGAAAGAGAGTAGGCAAATGCTACTGTCCTGGTTAAATTTCCCGTTTTCATTAGCCAAATCAGATGCCACACAAAATAAATTCATTTGAATTTCATAATTTTCATCAGGTATTGATGCTGGCCTTACCATGCTACAAAATGGCCGACCAGGAGAGGATAAGATTATGATTGTAATAACTGATGGTGTGTCTGACTTCCCCGATGCTACTAAAATAGCTGCCCAGAATGCCAAAAATGACGGAGTGACAGTGTATGCAGTCGGGGTTGGTGGAGTCGACCCAACAGAATTAAATGAAATTGCTTCTGGTCCAACTTATGTTCAGACAGCATCAGATTTCAACACACTGGCTCAGTCCCTTCTTTTGTTTTCAAGAAGTCTTTGTGGTGAGTATCTAGTGCTATATTGTGGTCTGGATTAGTCCCTTCTTAAAAAGAGTTACTTCCCTTCTAGTTAGAGTTGCCGATACTGGTAGGTTAAGCTTTTGCAAATGTCATTGAACAACTGTAAGAAATAAACCAAGTACTATTAAGATCAGAACCTTAAAACGAAACCGAAATCCAAACAACGTATTGGCGAAACATTAGTTGCAGCTAATGAACTTTTCATTAATTAATTAATGTAACTCAACCGTAGTCGATTTACAACATTTTTTTCTTCTTCAGATCCAATACCTACTACTCCAGCCCCAGGTAATTTACGACTCTTTTATTTTTGAACGTGAAATTAGCATAGCGATACTTTGATCCATGACGACTCGTCTTTTCTTGATACTCCGCATGTATAGAAAAAAAATGATATAGAAAAAAAGAAAGTGAAATATCAACTTTGAAGTATAATTGAAGGGTTATGGGATTTTCTTGTAGTTCTAGTACATTCTGAAGACTATTTACATATATTCAAGACCCAAATCAACCCCGAAAATGGCAAACTAAACTTTAAAGCATCCGCAATCCACAATCACTATAGCCATTGTTTCCAACCATTTCAACTTTTTCATCTTTAAATGTTAATATCAGCGTGGATGTTTATTTGTATATTTCAGACTGTGTTAACCCACTGGATGTAGTTTTTGTTGTGGATGGATCCGGGTCTGTAGGTCCCACTAATTTTGATACCATGGTAAACCGAATTGCAGATGCCATGCCACGGTTCGATCTGGACCCGGCAGTGGTAAATGTTGGTCTGATAGTTTTTGATTCAGATATACGGGCTGTAATTAATATGTCGAGTGATTCCAATCAACTGCAGACAGACATCCGAGCGCTAAATCATCCAGGAAGCACAACGGATGCCGGAAAGGGTATTGATGCAGCTCAATTGATGCTAGAGACCCAAGGTCGAGCTGGAGTCCCGAATGTTATGATAGTCCTTGCTGATGGAGTTTCATCTCCTAGTCCCGTGCCGAATGCGGCTGCTGCTAAAGCCGCTGGGACAGATATTCACACTATAGGAGTTACCGATGGTGCCGATATGACTGAACTGGAAGCAGTCGCATCTGATCCTTCCCAAGCTACAAAAGCAGACACGTTTGATGTAATTCAGCTGACACTTGATGATCTTGTTAAAGATCTCTGTTAATGGTGTATCTTTCAGTATATTTCTATGTATTTTAATGTTAATAAATTATATTGCTGCTTCACCATGTTTTAAATGCTTAGATATAACATCTTTTGATCAGGGAAGGTGAGCACCTTAATTTACTTACTTTGATTCTCAGAAACCCTGAATTGTCCGATGGAATGTGCCTTTTTCATTTTGTGATTATTCTCTTTCGTCCAGGCCTCAGTGTCGGCTCCAGCCTCTCGAGAATGGGGGTGCAAATAGGGGACAGACTCAATGAAGGGGGAGGGGGTGAGGGGGTAGCTTTTAAAGCTGAATTAAAATTGCGGCAACTTTATGGAGGCTCTCTCATGGAGCGTTTTGAAGCTTTCTCTCAAGATAAAGAAAAAATGAATTGATTTGGTTTATTATTTTGGGCAACAACGTATAAAAAAGCTTATTTTTCAAATTTGTTAAAAAAAAAGTGGGAGTTCGAATATTGGGGTTCCAACTATAACTGGCGTCGCCACTGCCAGGCCTACATTTTTGTGACCTTTATTGCTTCCCCCTAGTCAGCTATAACTATATCTCAGGGATGGGAGATCGGAGTCGGCACCAGCCTCCCAAGATTATAGGAAGGTAGGTCCAAATGGTGGCAGACCGACTTAATTGCGGGGACAACTGTCAGAGATGAGATTCAAAATGCAGCTCTGGGGAAGGGCATAGGCGGAACCTCACAGCTTCTGGGAGCTAGGGTTCTCCTCTATGAAATTTAAAAAAAAATAGAATTGATTAGATGCATTTATAGCCTACAAATATTTTAAGGTAAAAAGGTATTAAATTATATTTTTAAATCTATTAGAAATTGAAGTTATAAACCGTTTTTATTGGGAGGCCTACCCCAACTGGCTTCGTTACTGTGGAGAACAAATAACGGCTACTTTTTTGTAAACAAAGAAAGATCTTTTGACAGCTGGAGTTTTAAAGAATGTTGTAGCCTGGGCCTAATGTGGAACAAAGCTAATATTATTATTTTTATACCATTAGATCTCCGCCACTAGTCAGATTGGTTATTTAAAGAAAATCCACAACTTTTATGTATTCATTAAGCGAGGGCATCCTCACAAATTTTCAAAATCTTCTTTGGCTCTGACAGTGTTTGAACCCTTCTAACAAAAATTCAGTATAGAGTTCTATGGTTTGACCCATCCAAAATTCTGTGGACGTCCTCGCTATTATGCTATAATTTTCGAAAAACGTTTAGGCAATTGACGAATTTTCCACATTAATTTTTAAATCCTTACTGTGCGCAATATCTTCTTTCTAATGATATATAACACAAAGTAAGCCTACTTTTCTTATTTTCTTGAATATCTCATAATCTAATAACTGTAAACGCTTGAAATTCTGAGCAAACCTTAACATTGTGTGTTCGTCTCAGTAATTGACATTTTGACTTATTAAGCGAACGACGAATCGAGTGCAGACGACAGTAGTAACAGAGTTATCTGCCCCGTCCATTTTCTACTAACCGAAAAGTTACATTAAAAATAAAAAGAAAACTTCAATTTTGTTGATCAAACCATTCTTGTAGACATATTGTGAAATTTTTTATGTTAATTCACAGAATATACATAGTTTAGATCGCATTTTTCAGAAAATAGTTTTGATTTATCGGTTGGTTTAGACTGACTCGATAAGTAAATATGGCTGACAATTAACTTCTGGAAATAAACACAAGTTTTATTTTTATGGTGCAATGGCCGTAGATCGTATTATTAAAGTTTTACAGTTGTTTTAATTAATGTTGATCATTTTACTGTAGATCCAAAGTGAGTATTTGAATGTAGAAAGCGAGTGATATAAGAATACAAGGATTTTAAAACACGTAATCTGGACGACAAATGAAATCAGTAAAAAACCACACCTGCTAAATCTGAGACCCATTGTGAAATAAATGATATGAAATGATGTTATAGGTCGTATTTTTTGCATTCGATTATACTAACAAAGACAATCGACGCCATGGATTGTGCAATGTTGAAAATCGTGCCAGGACAGCGGCATTAGCCTACACTTTTTCAATTTCCAACTGTCAAGGGATCTTTATGGTGTCTTGGTTCATTTTCCTAGGCCCACTATTTGAATATGAGACCCATTGTGATGTACTTGAAATGAAATTGATTTTAACGTCCTTCATTTCTGCACCTGATTGGGTTTGTTTATTGTCTCTTCCAAACAACTCAAGGCTTTTACCATGTCAGCCCTTTCTTTAAACCAATCTTTGTCAAATACAGACATATTTATTATCCAGGTATAATAAGGTGCTAAATAAATCTGTAGCCATAGTAACAGTTGAAAATGTAGATTATTTGGAAATATCAATATCAAACAAATTATCAGACCCTGAAAAGTCTTATTTTGAAGTAATAATTAAGCCTTCTAACTAAATGCTTGAAATCATCTGACCATCTGAAATCCCCTCGGGTGCCTGTGGGTACCTCTGGTAGCCCCCAGACCCTTAGTCTTTCAGCCCTTCAAGCTCTCTGAGATACCTCTTTCCACCTCAGGCAAGTTTCTAGATTGATTTGATGATAATTGTCATCAAACTGTGGAATGTAAAAAACTGACTAAAGAATCTTCCAGAAATTTTCCTGCAGTATGTATTTATCTATTAATTTGAGATAATTTGACCAGCTTATGACGTAAAAATACCCCAAGCTGTTTGATCTCAATGATATCATGTTCTAGTTTTTTGATTGCCTAGAAAACAGAGCCTTAAATTCAAATTTTGTTCTCGTTATTTCAGATAACAGCCCAAAGAAAATGGCTAAATCAGGAAGTGGATCAATTTACCCGACCATTCAACCACCTCCGGTGCCTTCCCGCAGACGTCCTGGAAGCGATGTGGTTCATTCAAAAACAGATGCACCACCGATACCAAAGAGAGGAGCAAGTCTTCACGGAACCCCTGAAACGGACACTAGGGATACACTTAGAGCAGGTCCTCCAAGACAATATAATACTCTAATATCTCTGTCTCCACCAGCTTGGCGGAAACAAAACTTTGAGAAAAACAAAAGTGGTTTGCAATCGTTCTTGAATGATATTGAAGGCTTGGATTTTAGTGTTCAAAGTGACAATTCTATCCATCGTCGTTCGTCATCCCTAGAGGACATTAACGCCCCTCAAAATGTGTATCCAGACATAAGTCATGCGTTCAGAGAAATTACCACCAAATCGGTTCTCAACAGTAACCCGAACTTTACACCTGTTCAAAGTATAACACCAAGTCCTCCAAAACCCATGCCAGCGTATGGTTGGAATACAAATGTTTTTGGAAACGGGAATCAAACTTTAGGAGCCACTGGATTCGCAAATGACTTTGCACGAAGGTCGCATTCTCCAAACTTTTCTACCCTAGGTGCATCAGGTGTAGCTGCCAATTCCAACGCCATTGGGAACAATTTATCATACCAACAAAAACAGTCAATAACACAAACTTTTAGTCACAATAACATGGGCCCAGTAATAAGTCCTCCTAATATAGGGTTTATTTTTCAACCCCCTACCTCTGGGGCACCTGGAAACCCTTTCAACCCTAATCCTGTGTCTAGTTCAAATGGAGCTCATTCTACAAATAATACTTGGTATTCAAGATCAAATTCAAATAATAGCCTTCCTCGTCCAGCCAGTTGGGCTGATATGTTAGACTCTGCTCCAGATAGTTTTGCTGCTTGGAGCGAGAAAACGACACGATCTTCCTTGGATAATAGTGACTTGACGGTGACGCTACCTGCTCCAGGATCAGACTTGATTCAGCTTTCAGGAGCACCAATGGTGGAACATGAATATCTTTCGCTGGATTATTTCGATCCATTGTATAATCGTGGTCGACGAGAATCTGTATCGGGCAGCGTGAAGGATAACTCTTTTAATTATTCATTCGGGGAAGCCTTTCCTAGTATTAGCACTGACACGGAACCAGACCCAGTTCAAATGACCCCCGATACAGAGAAGTTCTGTCAGGGACTGGAAGATTGGGCTACCGGTACTGATCAGACGCAGGTTAAAGATGTATTTGATCCATTCACTGATGTCGTAACCAAGACTGAAGCTCCAGAACAATCAACACCACCACGACCAAAAGAATATAATGCACCGAAGGTAAAAAGTGAATACAAAATATACATTCGTATATCAAAAATTCAATATTAGAAATAGCTACGTGGCAAGTTAAAAATATATATATCAAAACTTAGGTAAAGTGAGATTTAGGGTTAGGGCTGTTGAATTCTAAGTAACTGTCTAGATGTAAAGGGACCCTGAATTTCCTTCTCCCTACATAGAAACAGGTTTCATCATAAAGGTTGAAGGAGTAATAATATATCGTATAGAAAGTGATTAATACTTAATTAATAATAATTTTAATGATCTTAAATACCTTCTTAATCCTGAGGTCTCTTTATACTGTTAATTGTTACTCATTTATTTACTATATATATTGTTAGTCTTGTTATAATATTCACTTTTCTTGATAACACTGTCTGTATGAGCATTTGAAACAATGAGTTAATAAATGTCAGAAATAGTATATCTATATATCTAGTGATTCTATATAATATTTGATAACACTGTCTGTATGAACATGTGAAACTAGTTAATAAATG